AGTTGATTGTCACAAATATTACATCGTCCTCATCGATTATTTTTCCAAGCATATTTGGTATTTTTCATTATGTAAAAAATTAGATGCCTTTGCTGCTTTCATTCGTTACCAAAAAATGATTGAACACTAATTTAATTATAAAATCAAAAAAGTTCAAGTTGATTTGGGTGGAGAATTTCATATTATAACCAAATTTTTTGATACTATTGGTATCATTCATCATATAATGTGTCCTAAAACACACAAACAAAATGGTACTATAGAAAGAAGACACCGTCACATTATCGAAACGAGTCTTACATTATTAGGAGAAGCTAAGGTTCTAAAAAATACCGCACTTTGCATTTGAAACTACAACATTTTTGGTCAACCAAATGCCTTCATTTGTTCTTAAAAATAAATCATCTTTCGAAGTTGTCTTTAAAAAACAACCGGACTATTCTTTTTTAAAATTTTTGGTTGTCTTTGCTTCTCCTATTTACGTCCCTACAACAAACATAAAATGGATTTTTGTTTGACTCTTCGCGTTTTCCTTTGCTACGAGTTCATCTTATCTAGGATATCGTTGTCTTGACTAAATTACAAATTGATTTTATATTGCTCGACATGTTCATTTTGTCGAAAATATTTTTCTATATGCTTACAAAGACATTTTAAATGATAGTTTTCAGATTGTATCTTTTCTTTATTTATTTATGAATGCGATTTAGTTGCTTTTATTAAGGATGATTACTTATTTAGTTAAAGTCTTTGTTTTCTTAAAAAAATTATTTTGAGAGTTACATTTGTGAAGTTAGTCCAAAATCATTATTCGAAACATGTGAATTACGTCCAAAAAAAACAAATAATTATTATTTAAATGATTGTTAATTATTCTATTAAACATTTAATTAAAAAACCAAATAGTTACAAGTTTTCTTTTATAGAGAAGATGATATAATATATTAATAAATATTTTGTCAATTTGTTAAATGTTATAGATAAGTGAATTATTTAATGACAATAATATAATAATATTAAAAATATGGTAAATAATAATTTCTTATGCACTTATATGCTAACAAGTACTTTATATATTTTTAATTAACAAAAAATTACTATATTGCAATATATTATTAGAAAAAATTATTAACAATAATATAATTAACACTTTAGCGTACATATTAAAAACTCAACATATTATACGATGGTATATTGAAAATTTAAAATGTTAATATGTGATGGATATTTTTATGAAAAGACAAAAAAAATCATGTGCAATCACCGATATTTGCAGGTGATTTAAAAAAAAACTAAAATAATAGATTGGAAACTTACTTAAATAATATAAATATAATTACTTTATTTTAAGATATTAAATAAAATACCTTCAAAACTGTTTGACAATGATATTTTGGCGGCAAATTCTCGTATCAACCTCTAAATTAAAAAGCAAAACAATGACCACCATGACAATTAACCGGACCAAAGAAAACGAAAGCCAAGGTGATCCAGTAGGTACAGAAGGTTTTCATGGATATTTTGGTAGCCAAGTCTTATGCCGGCCTCTAAATTAAAAGGCAAAACAATGACCACCGTGACAATTGACAGGACCAAAGAAAACGAAAGCCAAGGCACCGAGAGGACTTGTGGTTTAAGAGTTTCAAGAAGAAATTAGTCTACAGGCTCATGTGAAATGGGCTAGGTTTGGTTGAATAATGGTGTGGCACATTGACCAAAATCGGAGTTTGAATTTTTTGAAGTTAAAATTTCCGATGCTATCTGAAAATCCGACTGTTAGCGAGAGCATTACATCCTTTTATCCGCTAAATTTAAGCCCTTTTATAAAAACGAATGTAGTAAAAGCTATCATAGTTTTATGAAATGAGATTCTTAATTCATACACATATATATGTAGATATTAATTTATAATAATAAAATCCCAAACCCATGGCTTCATCCAAATTCACGTGAACCTAAAGCATTTGGATTTAGATCAAGAATATTAAATTACAATAAAACTAAACTAAAACCATTGGTCATTATTTGTTACACTAATTAAAACACTACTCATTTAAACTCATTTGTATAATTCACTCAAACTCGGATGTATTATTCCTTTAATTATACAATGACATTTTTATAGTTTTTAAATATTTTTAAGATATTTATTATGAAAGTTTTCATGACATTACGCTTTGATCATTTTTTTTTGTAATATTGTTTTTTAATTCATAAATATTTTTATTTGATTTTGGTTTCACTTTTTTATTTCATCTTGGTCACTTTGATCCTCTTTTTTTTCCTTTGATTTTTTAGTTAAAATTTTAAAGCAAAAAGATGTTTAGAAAAAAATAATTTACAAAATAAGGTTTTATCTAAAAATGTGGATAGAAATAAATAAAAAAATTTTTTAATAAAAAATTCATGAAAATATAAAAAGTAATAAGTCAAATATAAAATTTTTATTATAAAATGATAAAATTGAATGACTTTTTATTCAGTTTTGATTTAATATATTTTGATAGATATAAAATATAATACGAGACATCAAAATAAATAATTTTATGCATTTTGTCCGACCTCGTAATGTAGCGTGATAAAAAAAAATAATAACTTGAATTTAAAACAACTTGAACCCGAGATGATCTGACCCAAACCTATCCAATCCGATCTAATTACCGGATCTATTCTCCTGTGAGTCAATATTGAATCCATTAATTAAATTCTTGCATAATTAATAAAAAATAATATATATTTGGATTTGGTGTGAATTTCACAAATCACATATCATAATTGTACAATGAATCTAAACACAACTATACAAGTACTTCGTATGACAACAAATTTATGATATTATTATAGATGTCTTCGAAGTGATTTTTTTAATAAAAAATTTATGATATAATTTTTTATCCCATAAAAATTTTAATAAAAAAGCATGTTTTTAAAAATAATTAAAAACTATATACATCGAAAAAGAATAAAAAGAAATCAGGCTTGGTGCCTCTGAGACCAGGCGTGATGTGCCTACCCCAACCTTAGGAGGCCTCGCAGCGGTTTGGGCCAACCTTGGGAGGCCCAAGCGCTTGTATTTGTTTGACAAAAAAAAAGTGGAAGACACTTCGTTCATTAGGAATGACACGTCGTCCTCTGTTTGTTTTTCGTCAAGGTTTTGAAAGAGCTTATTCTGCCCAAAGGGTCAATGGACTGTATCCTAGAGGATCAAACTTGAAAAGTCAAGGCAGATTATCGTCGCAATCCAAGACAATCATGCATGACTTCCCAAAACGATCATTTTTTTTTCACCATCCTCATCCAAAAAGATCTCAATTCATCTTTACAACGCCAATAAACTTGTTTAAAATTCTAAAACCTATTCAATGCACTTCTATATATATATAAGTCTTAAAAGGAAATGAATCTTATTTTCCATCTTTGTTTTCTAACTACGAAATTTTTTTTAATGGGCACGAATCAACTTTATTTATGGAAACGGTCTTTTCAACATGTTTTTTTTTAATCAAAAATTGTAGCTAATAATGCTATAACCGTAGAATTCTATCTCTTGCCTTCTCTTCAACTTTCAATCATGTCTCTTCATCAACGAAACGAAAAGAAACTCAAAAAAACCATGACAAATGGCTATGAAAGTCATATAAATAATAAAAAAATGCCACTCAATAGAAATAGTTTTTTTTGGTAATAATAATAATTACAATGTCTAGGCATAAAGGTGAGGGGGCAAGCGCGGTGAGAGAAGAACTTCAAGAGGGGTGGCTTTGAGGTTTGCTAATCCAAAGCTCTTAGACATATCAACTTGTGCATTTTTTGGAGTAGAAATTTGAAATCTTTGTAGAAAAGTAGCCAATGTTAGATGCACCATGTGGAGGCCAAGAGAGATTCCTGGGCATGCCCTTCTGCCACTTCCAAATGGGATTAACTCAAAATTTTGACACCTAATATCGACATTCTTATGCGTGGTAAGAAACCTCTCTGTCTTGAATTCCTACGGATTTGGCCATATTCGAGAGTCCCTTTGAATTTTTCAGTTGTTCACTAAAAGCCAGATGCCTTTTGGGATATGGTAACCACCGCTAGTGCAGTCTTCAGAGAAAGATTAGGTTGCTAATATCTACATCATTCACTAGTCTTTCCATGCCTACACATCTGTCCAATTCTTCTTGGGCTTTTATCAGTACATGCCTATTGTTTAATAGTAGAGAAAAAGCCCATGTCAAAGTAACCATGGTGTTGTCGTTGGCCCCTGCAATCATAGCCTGTCAAATGAAATTCATGTTAGATTAATTAATGAATGGGAGACGAAACATTTTTCATGAAAGTGCAAGTACATATTTCTTCACCAGCAACTAAACGTAACAAAATTAAATAACTAAAGTTACATAAATAAATAAATTATTCTACTATCTTAAAAAATTAGACAAAATAGTTGTTAGGTGGGTTCCAATACATTCTGGTAGCATGCCTTTTGTTCTCTTCGCCAATTTTGGTATTTTAGTATTAATATTATTTGTCCTTTTACCTGAAAATTATTTATGAATTCCACTATTATGTGAAAAAAAAGAGTATAATTTTTTACCGAAAATAAAAAAATTTATTTCCATTGGCAATTATTTTATTTTATGATGATTAGATAGTATTTTTTTTAGCAATCTTTTCTAAAAAAATAATTGAAACTACCTTTCAGGTTGAATATAAACAAAATAAAGATTGAAAAATATGGTCGGAGCAGAAATTGATTACTGAATTTTTTTTTTAACAAAAACAAAGTTTTGAGACTTAAACAAAAAAAGAAAAAAAAAATTAAGATTGAACTTTGATATCTAAAAAGGAAGTACACCTTCTTAAAAGTAGAATTTATAACTGTTATGATGAGAAATTATTAGGTATATAGGAAGAATTCTTGTTGCGTTAAAATTTTAATGTGTTCAAATGCAACTTTTCAGAATCCTGATAGGATTTTTGGAGAGGCTCATGCTGACAAATTAATCCATGAGTAATCAAACAGATGAGGGAATTAAACTTACTAAGGACGTGGCTTTGTTTACTGTATCGGCATCATAACCTGCAAGATCAGTGCCTTGAAGGACCGAAAGCATAACGTCCATGAAATCTTGCTCTGCTTGATCAACCTCGCCTAAAAGCCTTTTTCGCTTACGCTCTTCCAACCATTCCTCCAGAATACTGTCTATTTCTTTTGCAGTTCTCCTGATGGCTTTCTCGTGCCCACCTACATCAAGCCACCCAAGAAAAGGTAGAGCGTCCCTCACAACAAAAATCCCTAAATACTTGAAAAATTTCCTTACAGCCTTCTGCCATTGCTGTGCTTTTATTTTATCATTATCACCCACAGCACTACCATAATACCTCTTCCCTGCAACCGTCCTAAGAATCGCATTTAGAGTTAAGCCTACAAACCATTGCTTCAAATCAGCAACAACATCGCCTGAGCCATTCTTTTTTCATCTCAATGCGCATATAGCTCTTTTAAAGATGTTTCCACTTCATGAATCCTGACATCCTTCAGTTGATTAAGCCTGCGGTTTGATAGTAATTCTGAAGTGGCTATTTTGCGTGTTTCACGCCAATATGGACCTTGTGGAGCAAAAGCAAACATGGCGAAGTTGTAGCTCAAGTATTTAGCTGCTGTAAAAGGTGGCCGAGAGCTCACAGCCTGGTCATTGATGGTGAACAATTCCTTGGCCAATTCCCAACTGCTAACTACCAAAGTTGGATTCTCCCCAAGCCTTACGGTGAAGATTGGACCATACCTGTCAGCTGTGGCTCCTAATTTTTGTGGAGAAGCTGAGAGCCTACTAAGAGTTGGTGGTTTCCCAATATAGGCCATCTACCTGCTGGTTCAGGTGCCCTTTTGCTCCTGGCAGCTCTCCATTTGTTGATCAAATGGTAGCAATAGATAAGTACAAGGACCAAGACAGCTGTTACGGCTATCTTAAGATATGGAATTGTTCCAGAATCCATCCCTAACTGATGGATTGATCAGGAAGAGATATCTTCGATTAACTGAGGGAATTGCTTATCAACTTTTGCATGTGTGAGGAGTTTGGAAAGAAAGTTTGACGTTCTTTCTTTATTTGTGCCAATTTCATGTAATTCGATCTCTAGATAAGTTATGCCATAATAATTGGTGTGAATGTCACCAATCATACATAGTAGCCGTAATTGGTGTACAAAGTATATAGGACAAATTCCCTATAAAAATTAATCCTGCTCTGTTGCCTTCAATTATGGAGGACGGTAGTCTTCACTTCGTATCTTTTCTTGATTTCTTTATGAATACGATTTTGTTGCTTTTCTTAAGGTTGATTACTTATTTAATTATATCCAAAATCGTTATTACAAGACAAAACACCAAAAAAGAGATTACGGATCTTCGGTGGCTCTTCCATCTACCTCAGGCTACTTAAAAACTAAACACAAAAAGGTACACAAACTTATTTTGTCCTAAACAGCAGATCTAGCCCACTTCTATTGTCTTCGAGTCCACATGTCATCTTTCTATTGACAAAAAAAGAAGGAATACTGAACGATTCTTTCACCCTGGTACAGGAGCCACGTGGCACAACAAAACAAAACTACCATTTGACCTGGATAACTTCACTAGAAGTACATTAATTTTATAACTTCTTTCAATTAAGTACATAAAATTTTATTAATTTTTTCAAAACATTATATCAATTACTTTCGTCCACCTCGTCAGACGATAATGTCCCCCTTGACCTTAATAATTTGTTAATACACAAACTTTCACTATATCTCAATCAGTATACGAATTTTAATCCTTATCATTCTGATACATTGATTTTTTTTTTGTTAATCAAGTACTTTTAATAATTTTTTTAATGTGGTTTAAAATTTAGTAAAAATACCATCCAAAATAACATTATATTTAATAAATTAAAATATTTTAAATTAAAATAAATATTTTTGGAATATAGAACTCTTTCAATTGATAGGAAGTTATCTACACTACACATCTTATTCTTGAAAACATATCTGTTTTTTCATCTGTTTATTTATTTATTTATTTTATTTTATGTTTTGGTTGTCTCTCTGTGCCGCTAGTTTGTTTCAATCATAGGTAAATAAAATAATACAAAACTAGATGCTGGAATTCTTTTATATATAATATCAAGTAATAAACGATCATGTGGAAAAAACAAAACGGAAAACAAAAGGAAAGGAAGCGAGTGTAACTTCAATATGAGAAGTGAAATTACCAAAAACATTTTTCATTATATATCCCATGTGTCCAAGAAGATGATAAATGATGACTCTTTGGGCTGGAGTTTTAACCTTGTTAATCATGAGGATATTTAGAATGGGCAATGGCTAATCAACCTTTCTCGAGGGTTAAAGGTTGGGTAATCTCCCCACTATAGTTTGTGATCCATGCTTATTCATTATGATTAAAATGATGTTGTTTAAGGTGTTTTAGGCATAAAACACATAGTTACTTGGAAATTTGAAGTATTTTTTTTAGAAGACTGAGGAAGGAGAGAAAAAGCATCGAATAGCTGCAATCCGAATATATGATGATTTGGAGTAAATTTATTTATTAGAAAATAATATAAATCATCTTTAAGACCTCATCTAAAAACTTATGCTTTTATATGTGATGGTCCTATGACATAGTATCAAAGATTTGATGACCAAACGATCGCAAGTTCGAATCCTACCAAGGACTTTCATTTGAAAGAGTGCGTTAAAGAATAATATAAATTATATCTTGATGCCTCATCTAAAAGCTTAAACTTTTAGGTATGATGGTTGTATGACGAGTATTAACCATTACGATTTGAGCTTATTGATGATGATTCTATCACCCTAAATTGGGTTGTTGAATTTGATTTTTTTTTTTTTGGTTAATAGTCTCATATGTTTTTATATAATATACTGAATTTTTAATCTGTCTCTATATTCTAAAATAAGCTAATTATTTCTTTGTAATTTAAGCAAGTTTTTAATCAATGTTTTAAGTCAATTTTTCCAATTAAATTACCTAAAAGTATCACATGACCTACAACATAAACACATCAAATAATTTTTCACTTGATCTTATAATTTTTCTAATTACATTTTTAATTAGAATCCATATTTATATATCAAACAAAGAATAATGAGGTTTCTTAATCAATGATTATGGACTCATCGACTAGAATTAGGCACCATTTCAATATAAATTGCTCAAACACCCTTTCGATATCCATTATAAATTGTCTTAATTTGTCGACTCTTCTAATTTGATTTTATGTGATATAAACAATTAATTCCATATTTTCTTTTTTATTTATTAAAATCAAACATTTTCATGAAATATATGTAAACTCAAAAATAAAAACACAAATGATATTAAATGCTACAATATACAAATGAAATTAAAAAAAATATTAATAACATTTTTATTTCGTTTGCATAAATTTTCAGATTTAATTAAAATATTAAAATAAATTTTATAAGGCTACCTGTGCCAGCGCACGGAACACAGATTTCATTGCGGAGGTGGAATTGTGGAAGTATCCCACCTCAATAAAGGAAGAATAAAAAGGTGCGTCCAGTGCAATCCAAGCATATCCACACTACTGAAACAAGTAGAGGCAAGTAGGACAAAATTTCCAAACCAAAATCACTTATCAATACGGCAATTGGCACAACCAAAGTGCATAATTTCACATTAAATACAAGATTGTGGGCTTTATTAATATAGAAGTAAAACAAATTTATATGTTCTGAATATCTATTCATAAACAGAAGCAAGCAAGCGAGGCTTGATTAGAACCTCAAGGGGAGTAGCCTTGCTGCTTGTCAGCCCAGCAGTTGCTGTCATATCAATTGGTGCATTTGATAGAGGCGAAACTTCAAACGGTTGGAGGAAACTTGCCGCCACTAAATGACTCATTTGGAGTCCCAAATTCATCCCAGGACAAGCTCTTCTACCGACACCAAATGGGAATAGCTCCAAATGATGGCCCTTGACATCAACATCCTTGTGCGAACCAAGAAACCTCTCTGGCTTGAACTCTGTTGGGTTGGACCATACTCGTGGATCCCTTGGAAGCTTATGAATGTTCAATAGTAATCGAGTTCCCATAGGGACATAGTAACCACCTATAGTGTAGTCTGCAGTGAATTCTCGGGCTCCTGAGAGTGGACCTGCTGGGTACAACCTAAGTGCTTCTTTGACACAGGCTTGGACATAAGCTAGCTTCTCGATGTCTGATTCATTCACTAGTCTTTCCTTTCCAACATGAACATCTAGTTCTCCTTGACATCAACAGGGTATTGTTCAACAATAAAGACAGTGCCCAAATTATAGTAACAGTTGTAGCATCAGTGCCCCCTACAATAAGAGTCTGCAAGTTACATGATCTCCTGTAATATAGATATATATAAAAGCATAAAACATTAGTGTTAAATGAGGGAATTGAACCATTAGTTGCCCAAATACAAGGGAAAATTTTGTACCAGGGATGTGGCTTTGCAAACTGTATCAGCATCATACCCAGCCAAGTTGATGCTATCGAGAGCATATAGCAGCTCGTCCATGAAGTCTTGCTCTTCGTTAGCGGATTAACCTGAATCTCTTTTGCAGCGATGCTCCTCTAACCAGTGGCCAACAATATTATCCAATTCCTCAGCATTTTTCTTCATGGCCTTCTCATGTCCACCTCAATCCAACCACCTAAGAAATGGAACTGCATCCCTTAACCCGAACAACCCAGTCAAGTGAAAGAACTCCCTCATCGCTCTCTGGCATCGTCAGGCCTCGTTTTCGTCAGTCACAACACCAGCGCCGTAGTATCATTTTCCTGCAATCATCCTAAGTATCACGTTTAAATTTATGTCACCAACCCACTGCTTCAATTCAGCCATAACTTGGCTTGCCTCATTTTTATCCTTTGATTACCATAACTTGTATAGATCTTTAACAAAAACCTCAACCTCAGAGGTTCTAACTTGTTTTAGTAGCTCAAGTCTGCGATTGGAGAGTAGTTCTGACAATGTTATTTTACGCATTCCCTGTCAGAATTCACCATATGGAGAGAACCCAAAATTCGCAAAGTTGTAGCCCAAAATTTTTGCACCAGTGAGTTTGGGGAAAGAAGATACAATTGCATCGTTAGTGGTGAATAGTTCCTTAGCCAACTCCCAGTTGCAAACCACCAAAGCTGGGTACATCTCTATCCTAATGGTAAAAATAGGTCCATATTTGTTAGCTAAGGCTCCTAATCTTATGTGGGGAAGCTCAGCTCCGGCTAACAAGGGAAGGTGACCTATGATAGGCCAAGCACCGCCAGCTTGTGGTGCTAATTTGGTCTTAGAAGATTTAGACCTCTTTAGCAGATAGCAGGAAAAGAGTACTATAACAGTTAGTATGATAGTGTGTAGGTATGGGAGAAGGATATCCATGGTGGTTTAATTAATCAATCTATGGATGGTGGAATATTTCTTGCGATAAATAAACACACACACTTCTCTTTTGACTTGAACTAAGTAGCAAAGACACCATGCGTTTTTTTTTCCCCAAGCTACCTGTCATTTGTATCTCCTTTCTTTTCACCCTCTGCTGATGACGAAACTTTCCCATTGCTAAAGACACAGGATCAAAATTCAATTGTTGGATAAGGATGAAAGGACAGACAAGTACCTAAGCATAGAATAATACCTCACCAAGATTAGTACAAAAATAGAATTTGGCGATGGGATATTAGCGAAACCGTAGCTAACAAACAAAACATAGCAACGGTTTGAAAAAAACCATTGCCATCAATTTATTTTAAAACGGTTACGATGATTTTTCGAAAACTGTCACTATATGACATTTATTTATTTATTTATTTTTAAATTAGCGATGGTTTTCAAATTAGTTGCTAATTTTAACTTTTTTTATTTTTATAAATTCAAAAGCAAATAGTGACGGTTTTTCAAAAATCGTCACTAATCGACAACTTTGTTTTCCAAAATTAGTGACGATTTTTGAAACCATCGCAAATTTTATTTTATTTTTATTAGTTCAAAAGTAAATAGCGATGGTTTTTTTTTATAAAAAAAACCATCGCTAATATTGCAAAATTAGCGACGATTTTGAAAACCGTCACCAATTTTTTATCGTTGGAGGAAAACATACTGTTTTCGAAATTTTTGAAAAAATTAACGACGGTTTAAAAACCGTCGCTAAAAGTTTTAATCCCTAAAACCCCACTAACCTGAATTTTTTCCCTAAATGTTTTTCCTCTCTTTTTCTTCTTCTTCCAGCCACAATTTTCTCCTCCATTGAATCTCTATAACTCCTCCAAATCTTCTTCTAAATCTCTTCATTTCTCTTATTTTCTTCTTCCCCTCCATCTTTCCACCTTTCTTCCTACCTTTTCTTCTTCTTTCTTCCCCTTCCCTCCTCCTCCCTTCACCCCTCTTCACCATGAACAATCCCACGACAAGCAGCACTCACTCGTCATCTTGGCCGTAGCTCCTCCTCCTTCTTGGCAATAGCTCCTCCATCATCTAATCCTTCAATTTTTGCATCGGTAACCCATTAATTTATTTTTTTCATTTATTTCAATTATTAAATTTTGTGTTAATTTTTGTTAATTCTTGTTGTTGTTTATTATCTATTAGTTAATTGCTAGTGTAATTATTGTTGTCAATTATTAATTGTGTTATTGTTGTTAATTATTTATTGTTTAATTGTTAGTTAGTTTAATTGTTGGTATTTAGAAAATTTAATTGTTAATTGTTGTTGTTTTATTATTTATTGATTAATTGTTAGTTAATTTATTATTATAAGTAATTTTTATTTTTTGGTTATTAAATTAAGCATAATTGTTTGTATTTAAATAATTTTTTTAAGAGTTAGTTTAATTAATTATGTATTTAATAATTTTTATTTAGTTGGTTATCAAATTAAGTGTAATTTTTTGCATTTAAATAATTAAATTGCTCTTATAATATTTAATAGGTGGTGTTAGTTTAATTAATTAAACTATTAATTGTTTATTCAGTGATTTTTAATAAAATTAATTAAATTTTAGTCAAATTAAATTATTTAATTACATTTGTGTTTGTTTAATTATATATATATATATATATATATATATATATATTTGGTGTTAATTAAAATTTAATTAAGTAAATTTATTATTTCTTAATTAAAAAATATTGTTTAAAATAATATATTAGGTTGTTAATTGAGAAAATTAGTTTACAATTATATTATATAAATATTGTATAATATATATAATTAATTATTACTTTAATTTATCTGTCCGTTAACTAAGTTTATTTAGTTGTTGATTAAGTCAATTACTTAATAAGTAAATTTAATAATTTATGTTTAAAATAATTTTTTAAGAGTTAGTTTAATTAATTATGTGTTTAATAATTTTTATGTAGTTGGTTATTAAATTAAACGTAATTATTTGTATCTAAATAATTTAATTGGTCTTACAAAATTTAATAGATGGTGTTAGTTTACTTAATTAAACTATTAATTGTTTATTAAGAGATTTTTAATGAAATTAATTAAATTTAGGAAAATTAAATTATTAAATTATATTTGTGTTAGTTTAATTAATTAATTATATATATATATATATATATATATATATATATATATATATATATAGGTGTTAATTCCAATATTATTTAAAATAATATTATATATACATTCATTGCATTCCGAATGTGGGTTAACGACGGTAATATTCCTAAGTTGGGGGTGTTACAAAGGTAGTAAAATAAATCGAATAAACTTATATATATTCCAAAAATATCCAAAACCAACATATTTAAATACAATTCATGCTCACAATCAAATGCGATAATGACTCGGTTAGGGTAGGTGCTCAAGATCTAATCATGATTGGATGGTTTGACTTATTGTAATATTGTATTATTTATTTTATTAATAAAAGAAGTCTTTCTATTAATTCTTGTCATTTATATTTATGAATAGAATTAGGTAGAAGTCCATATGATATGCATTGCAATAATGATTGATCGAAAGATATGAGACAAACATTAATGCACTTAAATAATATCATTAAATATCCTAAGTCATAGCATTGTCAAGCATTGACATTGACTATATGTAGTAAGACTTATGAGTGCTATGCTCATGCTATAAGATAATAGTAGAAGATCTCATACCTATTGGTATGGTGATGCCAAAGCAAGCACTTAGGTGATTAATGTTAAGTAACATGTGGTTTGACTTATTGTAATATTGCATTATTTATTTTAATAATAAAAGAAGTCTTTCTATTAATTTTTATCATTTATATTTATGAATAGAATTAGGTAGAATTCCATATGATATTCATTGCATTAATGATTGATCGAAAGATGTGAGACAAACATTAATGCACTTAAATAATATCATTAAATGTCCTAAGTCATAGCATTGTCAAGAATTGACATTGACTATATATAGTAAGACTTATGAGTGCTATGCTCATGTTATAAGATAAAAGTACGAGATCTCATACCTATTGGTATGGTGATGCCAAAGCAAGCACTTAAGTGATTAATGTTAGGTAACATGTCACCGGACTTGACTTGCCTTAAGAACCCATTTGGTTTAATCAATGGGAATCTCATATGAGATGAGTATAACTGGTCCTTTGACTTAAAAGTCATCATGGTTATCTCGGTAGAAGATTTATTTACTTTGACACTCATTTCGATGGACTCGGTTAAGAGTTTCATGTAGGCGATTCGTTAAGAGTTATCACATTACATTTCAATAAATTTTTACTCAAGAAATCTTAGGCTATAGTAGGAGTATACCAATAGTTAGTTTACTTTAGAGTTAAGACATTTGAAAGTTGAAGAACAATTATGTGATCATAATCGAATAGACTAAAAATGAAGTTCGAGATCACACCGATAAATTGACATGAGGATTGAATTTTATAGTAACCATGCTCGTAAAAGGTAATTGTGAATTAATTAATCATCCTAAAGAATTGGGTAGTCATAATGCTTTGTGGGAGGCCAATCTTGATTTATATATCAAGAGATAAAAAAATATGTATTTTATTCTTTATACATTAATAGCATATTTAAAAGTCTATTGAGTCATGCATATAAGTTTAAGCATTCTAATAATAAAAGAGAAATAAAGATTTTGGAAATGTTTCCAATTTTGAAAGTTTTCTATTTTGAAATTTTTTTTCTAAAATGGAAAGTTTCTTGTTTTAAAAATCAATTTCCTAATTTGGAAGTCAATTCTAAATTTGAAAGTATGTTACCTAAAAAGAAAATTAGTTTCCTAATTTTGGTTTAAGGGTAATTTGAAAAATTATTTCCTAATTTGGGATTTCTAAAAATATCTAACCCAATTTATTTAGATAGTCTAAATTAATTAGTAATTAGTTTGGCCAAAAGAGTTTAGGCTAATAGGCTTGATTCAAAAGCCTACAAGATATTTAGGTGGGAGGACAAATATGAACTTTATTAGACAAGGATCAAGTTTTATAAGGATAAGATCAAAAAAGCTCACATGCACTATAACTCCTAATCCTTGGATGACTAGGAAGCAACAATCTAGAGTCTTTTTTGGTCTTATGAACGCTAGTTCCTTATCCTTGAAGGATAAGAAAGCCACTCCCTTATAAATATAAGAGAAAGGTACGACAAATAGAGGTTAGAAAAGAGGGATATATGGCATACGGAAAATAAAAAGAGAAAATAGTTTTCTCTTTCCAAAAGCATGCTAACTCTCTATCTCTTTCTTAGGGTTGTCGCAAAATATCTCAAAAAATATCTTTAAAGAGGAAAATTAAACAAGTTAGAAAAAGGTGGAACTAGCACTCTACAACTTCGATTACTACTTGTATGGGTGCTTGGACCGTGTAGATTATCGATAGAGGCTAGACACTTGGATGATTATTTTCTACAAAGGCTAAATCTATGCTACAACGGATAATCTTTTACTCATGCTTTAATTTATATATGTATGATTAGATGATTTAACAACTTGTTCTTGGGAGCATTAGATGGAGAAATTTTTTTTATTTTATTCTACATGTCCTAATGAAGCATGATCATTCAATTGATATTAGAGGCTCTATTGAATCTTTAATTATATAATTTGCTAATTATGATTAACTCGCATGAATTATTAATTTTTTATTATAAATCCAATGTTTTATTATTTTATAATTGCTTTAAAACTAATTTTGGGCTTAAAAATAAGTGGATGTGTGTAAGGCTAATGTTGGACGTTGGCTATCACGTGTAGGCCTTGGAGGAAAGGCTAGTCGCACACTAGGCGTGTGATAGGCCAAGCATTCCTCATACACGCCAAGCCCTCTAGGCGAGGCCAATCGTATACCGAGCATGCTAGGCCTCCTAGCCGGGCTAGTTGCATACTAGGTGCGCAATAGGCTAGGCATGCCTTGCTCATACCA